GCCATCAATCCAAAATCAGCTGAGCTGCAACATAATACAGACAGGTAATAATCAACATAATCACAAGGACACAATATGGCTCTGCTAAAAACACTCACTCTTACACGCACCAAAGTTATATTTATCTAATATTTAACTCCCTCCACCCCCGCATACAATCCCGTTTAGAAGCCCCTCTTCTCTAATTCAACAACGTTGGACCAAATAGACATTAAGAGAACGGAATTTACAATTAAAAGGCTGTTCAACGTCTGTTGCTAACTTGCTTCGGTATCCTAGCTTAATCTGATTGATTGATTGATTGATTGATTGAAAAGTGTATTAACAGCTTGTATATTGGGTACAGTACAGTACAGCTCAAAACATACAATTGTTAAGGGGATGCAGACCAGAGAAAGACTTTCGTCTTGTTTACATCAGGGTCCCCCATTTCCAATTCATCATGTCATTTAAGACATATAAGACATATTTGACATACAGATGGCTTATTTACAATTTACATTTAAGACATACCAAGTCTACAGATATACAGTTAGTAACAGAGTCTAAAATGCGAGTATATACATAGATGGGGGGGGGGGGAAGCTGTCCATTGAACGACAGGTTGAGATGTGTACCATTACCGGGGCCAGTTTTGCAATGCTCTCCCCCGAAGGTGCTCTTTCAGAGAGGTTTTGAAGGTAAGTATAGTTTTACTTTCCTTTAGTTGTGGGAAGAGCGTTCCACCTTGATGTGGCATCATTGCGAAACGTGTATTCCCCCTTTTTTGTGCCAAATCTGGGTTTCACATGATTTGTGGAGCTCCCTCTGGTGTTATGATCGTGGTATTCCTTGACCTTTGGGAAGAATGTTGACATGTACATGGGTACCATAGAGGTGTAGTGGATCTTGTAGACCAGGCCCATTGCAAGTAGCTGTACTCTGTCGTCTACTCTAAGCCATCCTAGGTTGTCAAAGTGGGCAGAGGTGAGGTGGGTTCTAGATGAAAGGTCAAGCAGTAGTCTGACCAGTTTATTTTGCGATGTTTTAAGTTTTATTTTTAGCGCCTTGGAGGTGCTATGGTACCATGACGTGCAAGCATAGTCATAGTACCCTTGAATGAGTGCTCCTGCCAGAGTTTTCAGGGTGTTCTTGTTTACCAGAGAGGAGATCCGGTATAGGAATCTAGTTCTTTGATTGACTTTTTTTATTACATTGGATGCCATTTTGTCACAGGAGAGGTTTGCCTCAAGAATAGATCCTAGGTATGTAATTTCCTTCTTACTTGTGACAATAATGTCGCCCACTGCAACTGAGAAGTCGTCGGATTTGCTGAGATTATGTTTCGAACCGAAGAGAATGGACTCTGTTTTACCCAGGTGTAATGATAATTTATTATCGGCGAGCCAGGTGCAGATTCTGCCGAGCTCGGAGCTGAGGGTTTTTTCAACCTGCAACCTGTTCCTGTCAGAGACCAGCAGGGCTGAGTCGTCCGCGAACAGGAACAAGTTGCAGTCACATGCTGATGACATGTCATTTACATAAATTAGGAACAGTAACGGACCTGATATGCTTCCTTGTGGAACACCACAGCTCACTGGGAGGGGGGGGGGGACAGAGTACCGTTTACCTCCACCATCTGTTCTCTCCCCTCCAGGTAGGATTGCATCCAGCTCACCGATAGTTTATCAAAACCAATTGCTTTTAGCTTGTCAATCAGAATGGGGTGATTGACAGTGTCGAAAGCCTTTTGTAGGTCCAGCATCACCATGCCGCAGTACTTGCCCTCGTCCACCTCTTGTTTGATGTGGTCGCTCGAATAAAGAAGGCATGTGTCAGTGGAGTGGGATGTTCTGAAGCCAGATTGAAATTCATAGATTAGTTTCTTTTCCGCGAGGTACTTTTCGACCTGTTCATATACTATTTGTTCCATGACTTTCGAGATGGAGGTAAGTATAGAAACAGGGCGGTAGTTGCCTGGGTCCAATTTGCTGCCCTTTTTGTGCAGGGGGGTTACTCTTGCAATTTTGAAGTCTTTGGGTACTTTCCCCTGTTTTATGGAGAGGTTAATTATGTGAGCTATGACTGGTGAGATGGCGTTTGCTGTGTCTCTGAGGAATTTGGAGGGGATATTGTCGTGGCCAGTGGCCTTGTTAGGTTGGAGGGTGCTCAGTTTAATGAGTACCTCTGCTGTTGTTACCCTTGCTAGACTGAAATCATCTTTGCGTACCCCTAGGTTTTTGTAGTAGGTCATGATGTGATCTACTCCAAAAAGCCCTGAGTGGGAGGGTAATTTATTTACAAGAGTTGTGGCTATGTTTGTGAACAAAATGTTCAAGTACTTGGCCACATCCAGTTTGTCTGTGATGAGCCGGTTATCTGTCTTTATGTTTAAGTTAGAAAATCTCGTTTTGAGTTTTTTACTGCAGCCAAGCTGGTCATTGAGTCATTTCCAAAGTTCACGCGGTTTATTTTTGTTTTCCTCAGTTTTGATATTGATGAAATTCTTTTTGGCAGTTTTGATCATGGAGCTTACGTCATTTTTAGTCTGTTTCTTTCAATTTTGAGTTCAGTCACGTGGGCCTGGAGTTCACTGCTCGTGCTTTTGGAAAGCATTGACTGACTTTTATGAAACTCAGAGCATTTTTTGTCTCTGGTTTTCATGGCGGTCAGTATGCCGGAGTGCATCCACGGCTCAGCGCGATGTGTTACCCTGGTTGTTCTTAGGGGGGCCAAATCATTGAGTATTGCAGAGAATTTGTTTTTGAAACCAAGCCATGTTTCTTCAACTTGTGTACAACTGAGCTCATCTGACCAGTCCAGGCTCTCCAGCTCTAGGTTAAAGGCCTCGCTAGAGTAGTTTTTGAGGTCTCTAGATATGACTGTTTTGTGACAGCCGGCCATTTGTTTTAGCTTTTTGCGGGTACAGAATATCATATAATGATCACTTAACCCGCATGCTATAACCCCTTTACTGGAGATCCTGGACCTGTCAGAATGATATCAATGGTAGTTTGTGTTGTTTCACATACCCGGGTGGGTTGGGTGATTAGCTGGCTGAAACCGTGCAGATCACAAATCCTACTGAAGGACTTGAAGACGGACGTGTCTTTACGTTGCATATCCGTGTTCCAGTCTCCAATAATAATTGTCTCTACATCCCCCACATCAGCCAAACACCCATCTAATGTATCATAAAAGTCACTCTGTTCCGGTGGTCTATAGATTGTTTCTATTACAGATTTAGCATTGTCAAAAAGAGTTTCAACCCACACAGATTCAATATTTTCATGATGCAGGTCAGTTCGGTTTTTGAAATTGGTGTCTTTATGTATGTACATGCAGACACCACCTCCATTCACGTTCCTGTCCCTTCTCACTACAAGATCATCTTCAATTTCAATCTCTGAATCTGTAATGGAATTGTCCAGTTTGGTCTCAGAAAAGCATAATATGCTTGCCTTACCGTTCATGAATAGCTGCCTGAGTTCAGCCAGTTTGTGTCTCAGGCTGTTAGTGTTCAGATGAAACATATGTAGTCCATTTTTGTTGCTTAAATGCACAATGTCGTCAGCTTGCAGATATTTGTCTTTGTCCGTTACAGCAACCGGCTTGTCGTGGTGTTTGGAGAGGTGGGGTGGTTATCTGTAAACGTTCCCTAAATCTACTAATTTAGGGATAATCCACTGACATCCTTTAATACACATGTTCATTTGAATCAGATGTACTGATAATATTCGCAATATAAATCTTTAAACTTCTTCTTACCTTTAAAAGTCCGTCACGAACGGTCTATTATGCTGCAACTCTACAGCTCTGCTAGCCTTGGCGGCCAGGGGTGGACTGGGACAACAATTCAGCCCTGGCATTTTCTGTCCAGACCAGCCCACTACATTATCAGCGGACACTACATAAAAGTCCACTAATCTCGCAGCATCTTCTCTCATGCATACTACAAAGGAGAGTCATATTCCTTGATAGCAGTCAACAAATAAAGCACTTAACTATGAACTCAAGGACTAAAATTGACAGCTATAGCAATCAATCAATCAATCTTTATTCATTATAGTGTCAAATCACAACAGAAGTTATGTCATGACTAGGGGTGGGACGAGACTAACGGGAAGAACCCTTATGCTACCCTTTCAGTTTTTAGTCTGTGACTGTGAAAATCTTTTGGTGTAAGCCCAGTATTAGTTCAAACCAGACTCGGATAATAATAACAAAAAAATATCCTGACAAATAATCTAAATAGAAACATATTACAGACAGTAGCAGCATTAGAGCTGAAACTCACTCAACGGTGACTCAGTCATTATGAAACCATATATAGAGAATTGGAGAAAAATAAATAAATATGTATAGCTGTGTACAGGTAGGGTTACAGGTCTGAATAGATATGTATTCTCATATACGTGTATGTGCACAAGTATGTATTGCTCTACTTCCTGGTCCGCAGCCAGCCAGCTCCACTCCTCACCAAATTCGTGACCTGCAAGAAACAGCAAACATAACTTGTACTCAGTATCTGTGTACTGACAAGTATATGTAGCCATGTAGCCTTTTTGTGACGTGGTGACACTTAGTGAACACATGTATCTGTCATGAAGGATGACTTAAGTCTCAAAAGAGCCCTAAGGCCTACCTGCATAACTGTTCATTGAACTTAAAAGATATGCAGATGTTTGAAATTAAAACCATCAATATGAAAATCTTCAGCCAGGAAATAATCAAACCTTTTGTTTCAATCTGAGACAAAACAAGTTGCATAATAAACTCACAGTCAAGACGAAGCTCTCAGATATGATGGATGACTCAAGCATCATAGAAGAACTTCTAGCAGGTCAGGAAAACCTGTTTGCCAGGAGATAATGGTAGCAGAGAATATAAAGAGACATTTATGAATGACCAATTGTCATTTTATCACACACATAGTATGTTTCTTCACATAACCTTTAAACATACACATATTGCATTCCTCTCACCACATGAAATAAGTCCAGGAACCCAAAAGTGGCCCAGTGAATGATGGAGGAGACAAAGCAGGTCCTCAAAAGGGGACAGAGGGAAAACAACTCCTTAGGCTCTCATATATAGGGTGGTCAACCTAAAAGAGACATGGAAACATTATTAAGTCTCTCATCATCACAAATCAAGTATGAATTCATATAAGACACCTGACATACTCAACAAATCATAGACTTCTCAGTAGCCAAAAAGTGGTGAAGTGGAGGCAGTAAGGGAGCAAATCCTTGAAAATGGACGGAGGGGGAACAACTCCTCAAGCTCTCACATGTCAAGTGGTCAACCTGAGAGGGAATTGGATACATTATTAAGTCTGAAAAATAAATAAAATGTTTTCCTCTGTCCTGCACCTAGAGTTGAAAACTTTTGGGACGTGCGTTTCTTTCAAAACTTTTTTAAAATGATGAAGTATGAATTTATATAACATTAAAAAATACATGATAAACTTACCAAATTCTAACAGTGGTCCCAAATGAGAGAACAAGTCCACATATAGAACAGAGGGAGAACGACTCCTCAAATATATCAGAACAACCTGTAATGGAGAATAATTGATCATTTCGTGTACATGATCACACCATTAAGGACCAATTACATTACATTACATTACATTGCATTTAGCTGACGCTTTTATCCAAAGCGACTTACAATGAGTACATTCGACCAGGAAAACACAACCTTGAAGAAAACAGAATCATAAAGTACATCAGGTTTCATAGAGCCAAACATTTCAAGTGCTACTCAACTGGCTTTAGATAAGCCAGTCCTTTATTAGTATATAAGTGCTTCGTTAATCAACACATAAGCACAATAACACTTCTGAAAAGCATCATTCAAATGACAAATAATGAATTACTACATCCATAATGTGTGATGTGTGATAATAACAATAATATGAAATATTTCTCGCCTTATCAGTGGAGCAGCTTTTTAAGCAGCTCACTCTTCTCTGCAAGTCTGTCTATAGCAGAGTCAGAGTCCAAGGCCATGAGGATGTCTTTCTCTGTGGCCATCAACATAAATGCCTCCAATTTCTCAGATGAGAGGGTGCTTCTGAGTCTGTTTTTAATAAACTTCAAAATGGAAAATGTGCGCTCACAAGCCACCTGTGTGAGGGATAATGTAAGCAGGTATTTATAAGCAAGGCCTAGGACAGGGTATGCATCTGTTAGCATGTTGAAACGGCGAAGTATCTGGTAGCAGCACAGAGGGCATTCTTTGCAGGAGCAACAGCTTATGGGAGTTATCTCAACCTCTTCTGTTTCCTCCTCCTCACCACCTGATCCATCTTCTACTGTTCTTGCTTTGTACTCTGCCAATGGGGATGCCTTCAGCCTGTTCCACTGGAGTGCAAAGCTTTTCAACTCGCCCTGCATATTTTCCTTGGTTGCCCTACTGTCAAATCCTTGCAAGCACTTGCTTAAGTCTTGAAGGGCAGACTGGGGAAGAGCACTGGTGCAGAGCTGAGGGAAGAGCACTGGGATCCAGACATGCCAAGTCAGCATATAGATTGCCGTGTGTTAAAAAGCGCCTATGAATGGCTTCAATTGCTGTGTCCATGATCCGGTTATGCACATTCACCTCATAGGATTGTTCTGCATCATCCAGGGTCTCATTCTGAGCCATCTCTCCAGGCAAGACTTTCTTCATCCTCCTCCTCTTTTGTGGCAGTGTGGCCTCCACTTCAATGTCCATGTCATCTCTCTCTTGGATTTCTGTGTTTGTCCAGTTGACAAATGTGTCGTCTGCTTTTTTTACAGATTCAAAATCTCTTCCCAAGCTTTTCAGCGTATCCTGTGTCGAGGCCACCATTCTGTGAGCAGAGAGGATGTCCAATCCTGCCGTCTGAAGGTATTTAGACAATGGAGAGGTATGTTCAAATATGCGGAGGAAGATTTGAGCCGTCAAGATCGTCTCATACTTGAGCAATGACTCTGCATATCCTCTGGCCATGACACGGATACATGATTTCACTGTTGCCTGTTTCTGTATAGCTGATAATGTCAGCAGCACATCAACGTACAGACCATCTTCCGCTTTTCCAAAGGAGCCAAACACCTTCTTCAGGGCCTCATGCTTGGCCCACCAGCGTGTCTCTTCTTCAGGGCCTCATGCTTGGCCCACCAGCGTGTCTCTTCTTCAGGGCCTCATGCTTGGCCCACCAGCGTGTCTCTTCTTCAGGGCCTCATGCTTGGCCCACCAGCGTGTCTCTTCTTCAGGTCCTCATGCTTGGCCCACCAGCGTGTCTCTTCTTCAGGGCCTCATGCTTGGCCCACCAGCGTGTCTCTTCTTCAGGGCCTCATGCTTGGCCCACCAGCGTGTCTCTTCTTCAGGGCCTCATGCTTGGCCCACCAGCGTGTCTCTTCTTCAGGGCCTCATGCTTGGCCCACCAGCGCAAGGCGTCTACGTCTCTTGTTTCGGCCTGACTCTTCCCACACATTCATCCTTTTATATGACTCTTTGATGAATACCGCAATGCCATTGAGGAGCGCAAACAGGGACCCACTCTCAATAACAATCTGGGTTGTGTTTGCAAGCACCAGATTTAGTACATGTGCGTAGCACCACACATGCACCTGGTTTGGAAATTGTGCAGACAACAGTGAGGAGAATCCTTTGTATTGGCCTTGCATGTTTGATGCCCCATCAGTCACATTTCCAATGCACATGGTCTTGCTGAGGCCCATTTTGTCCAGAACTTCTGACAGCATGTTGACAACGGCCTGTCCAGTGGATGAACTGCACTTCAGCACTGCACCAACAAGCCTCTCATGAACAACATCAGTAACATACCTCATAATTATAGAGCATTGATCCTGAGAGGTGATGTCCTGCGTTGTGTCCAGCTGCACTGAAAACATTCCTGCTTTCTTGATATCACTGGAGATGTTTTCTTGAATCAGATGGTGAATTGCATCTATCACTGAGTTGACTGTGGTTTTGGAGAGTAAAGTTACAAGGGAGCCTCTGCCTCTCGTGCCACCAGACAAATGCAACTTTTTGCTGTTCTCAATGCAGCTGTCCAGGTGCTCTTTTAAACAGAAATCATACTTCCCCAGTAGAAGTATGAGTTCCAAGAAATTACCATGATCAACTGTGTGGTCTTCCAGAGTATATGCTGCCTCATTTTCTGACCTCCTGTATGCAAGCCCCCTCTTCCCAAGAACCTTGATGACATCTATGATGCGCTCCAAAACCTGCCGTCTCTTTCTGACCTGCTCTGACATCTGACTGCCACCAAACACACTGCTGATATCAGCACTGGCGGATTTCAAGAGGTAAGCTTCAGCACAGTTTCTGTGTGCACTGCTTCTCTCATGCTCCTCTGTGCGCTGGTGTATATGCCTCCAATCTGACATTCCACTGATGAACAGACTGCTATCAGTTCTCTTACCGGATGCCATGCAGATGAAACAATACAGCATGTGACGCTCTGGACAGTACGTCAGCCACCTTCTACTGGTGCCGTCTCTGCTACACTTTCTGCACCACTGGATTGCTACTTTTTTGCTGAGGATGGTAATTTAAAAATGACTGGAGATTTTTCTGATCAGGTTGTGAAAAAAAATCAGTTATTTGACTGGCACACTCATAGCTCTCAACAGCTGTTTCCCTCTCAGGTGATCCTGTCTTTGAGCTGACACACTCCTCACTCTCTACAGCCTTTTCCCTCTCAGGTGATCCTGTCTTGGGGCTGACACACTCCTCACTCTCTACAGCCTTTTCCCTCTCAGGTGATCCTGTCTTGGGCTGACACACTCCTCACTCTCTTACAGCCTCCTTATTCCCTCTCTCACTCTCTACAGCCTTTTCCCTCTCAGGTGATCCTGTCTTTGGGCTGACACACTCCTCACTCTCTACAGCCTTTTCCCTCTCAGGTGATCCTGTCTTTGGGCTGACACACTCCTCACTCTCTACAGCCTTTTCCCTCTCAGGTGATCATGTCTTTGGGCTGACACACTCCTCACTCTCTACAGGCCTTTTTCCCTCTCAGGTGATCCTGTCTTTGGGCTGACACACTCCTCACTCTCTACAGTCTTTTCCCTCTCAGGTGATCCAGTCTTGAGGCTGACACACCTCCTCACTCTCTACAGCCTTTTCCCCTCTCAGGGTGATCCTGGTCTTTGGGCTGAGACACACTCCTCACTCTCTACAGCCCCTTTCCCTCTCAGGTGATCCAGTCTTTGAGGCTGACACACTCCTCACTCTCTACAGCCTTTTTCCCTCTCAGGTGATCCTGTCTTTGGGCTGACACACTCCCTCACTCTCTACAGCCTTTTCCCTCTCAGGTGATCCTGTCTTTGGGCTGACACACTCCTCATCTCTCTACAGCCTTTTCCCTCTCAGGTGATCCTGTCTTTGGGCTGACACAACTCCTCACTCCTCTACAAGCCTTTTCCCTCTCAGGTGATCCAGTCTTTGGGCTGACACACTCCTCACTCTCTACAGCCTTTTCCCTCTCAGGTGATCCTGTCTTTGGGCTGACACACTCCTCACTCTCTACAGCCTTTTCCCTCTCAGGTGATCCTGTCTTTGGGCTGACACACTCCTCACTCTCTACAACAGCCTTTTCCCTCTCAGGTGATCCATGTCTTTGGGCTGACACACTCCTCACTCTCTACACAGCCTTTTCCCTCTCAGGTGATCCTGTCTTTGGGCTGACACACTCCTCACTCTCTACAAGCCTTTTCCCTCTCAGGTGATCCAGTCTTTGGGCTGACACACTCCTCACTCTCTACAGCCTTTTCCCTCTCAGGTGATCCAGTCTTTGGGCTGACACACTCCTCACTCTCTACAGCCTTTTCCCTCTCAGGTGATTCAGTCTTTGAGCTGACACACTCCTCACTCTCTACAGCCTTTTCCCTCTCAGGTGATCCAGTCTTTGGGCTGACACACTCCTCACTCTCTACAGCCTTTTCCCTCTCAGGTGATCCAGTCTTTGGGCTGACACACTCCTCACTCTCTACAGCCTTTTCCCTCTCAGGTGATCCAGTCTTTGGGCTGACACACTCCTCACTCTCTACAGCCTTTTCCCTCTCAGGTGATCCATGTCTTTGGGCTGACACACTCCTCACTCTCTACAGCCTTTTCCCTCTCAGGTGATCCTGTCTTTGGGCTGACACACTCCTCACTCTCTACAGCCTTTTCCCTCTCAGGTGATCCTGTCTTTGGAGCTGACACACTCCTCACTCTCTACAGCCTTTTCCCTCTCAGGTGATCCTGTCTTTGGGCTGACACACTCCTCACTCTCTACAGCCTTTTCCCTCTCAGGTGATCCTGTCTTTGGGCTGACAACACTCCTCACTCTCTACAGCCTTTTCCCTCTCAGGTGATCCTGTCTTTGAGCTGACACCACTCCTCACTCTCTACAGCCTTTTCCCTCTCAGGTGATCCTGTCTTTGGGCTGACACACTCCTCACTCTCTACAGCCCTTTCCCTCTCAGGTGATCCTGTCTTTGGGCTGACACACTCCTCACTCTCTACAGCCTTTTCCCTCTCAGGTGATCCTGTCTTTGAGCTGACACACTCCTCACT